CGTAAAGACTCCAATAGTCACATGCTAGGTTTAGGGGTATACATACGCATTAATTCCCCTATTTGTCATGAAATCAGGTTCGAATCCTTTGAACATTCTTTTATGTGCTTTCGCCTAGCACCTCTTCACTCTATCACTTTTCTCTTTGTTTTTTATTGTTCTCCTTCTTCCCATGATTGCACTCTTTTAGATGTTATCTCTGATCAAATTGACCATGCCCTCTCTCTTTACCCCTCTGCCAATTGTGTTGTTGTTGGTGATTTTAATGACCATCACACTGAATGGCTTGGCTCTAACACCACTGATCCTGCTGGCACTAAAGCCTTTAACTTCTGCGTTTCTCAATCTCTTACTCAGATAGTTAACTTTGTGACTCGTTTTCCTGACAACCCTAATCATTTACCTTCACTCCTTGACTTATGTCTTGTCTCTGACCCTAGCTTATGTCCAGTTTCTCCCTTTTCTCCCTTAGGTGGTTCTGACCATGCAATGATCTCTATAAATCTTTCTTCTCGTACTTCTTTTTTGGGCTCACCTTATCATTGCACCACCTACTACTACCCTAAAGCTGACTGGGATTCCTTTCGTGATTTTCTTTGTGATGGTCCCTGGGCTGATGTCTTTTCTCTCTCAGCTGACAAATGCGCCTCCTACGTAACCTCCTGGATTCAGGCTGGAATGGAAGCTTTTATTCCTTTGCGTCGGTTTCAAGTCAAGCCTCATTCTACTCCATGGTTTTCTCCTTCTTGTGCGGCTGCTATATCCAATCGTAATCATTTTTTTCATCTTTTTCAAAAGAACAACTCTCTTGAGAACAAACGGCTATTTATTATTGCAAGAAATCGATGTAAAAAGGTGCTTTCTGAGGCTAAACTCCATTATTCTCAGTTCACTAAATCTCGCATCTTATCGCAGAAGTTAGGCTCTAAAGACTTTTGGAAAATCTTCAACAGCATTGTTAACAAGGGTAGATCTAACATTCCATCTCTCATTCATGGGACTGATCTTATTACCTCTCCCAAGGATAAGGCAGAACTATTTGCAAAGAACTTTTATTCTTATTCCACTCTTGAATCTTATGGACATTCTCTTCCTTCCGTTCCAGTCAAACAGGTTGACCCATTGTTAGACATTCAAATCACTCCGGCTTCTGTTGCTAAAGTCATATCTCAATTAAACTCCTCTTCAGCTTGTGGTCCAGACAACATTCCTGTCACAGTCTTGCAGAATTGTTCTCCAGAACTTTCTTCAATTCTCCCTAAACTATTTAACAAGTGTTTGACTGAGTCTTGTTTTCCTGCTTGTTGGAAAATGGAATCTGTGGTTCCAATATTCAAAAACTCTAAAGAAAATTATGACCCCCCCAATTATCGTTTGATCAGTCTTCTTTCTGTTATTAGCAAGAGTCTTTGATCAACAAATTCCTCACATCTCATCTTGAGTCTAATAAACTGCTGTCAGACAACCAATACGGTATTCGATCCTCTCGCTCTACGGCCGATTTGCTAACTGCTGTAACTGAAAGATTTTATCGTGCATTAGATGGAGGCGGTGAGGCTAGGGCTATTGCTCTCGACATATCTAAAGCTTTCGACAAAGTTTGGCATGCTGGTCTTCTCCATAAGCTTGCTTCATATGGTGTTTCTGGGAAAGTTTTTGAGATTATCAAATCATTTCTTTCTAACCGGTTTTTTAAAGTCATCCTTGAAGGCCAACACTCTTCTTTATTTCCAGTAACTTCTGGAGTTCTCCAAGGGTCCATCCTGGGCCCTGTTTTGTTTCTTATCTACATAAACAATCTTCCTGACAACCTTTCATCTAAAGTAGCTCTTTTTGCTGATAACTCAACTTTATACTCCTGTCTTGACAAAAAGTCTTCTCTTTTCGATCGCCTAGAACAAGCAGCTGATTTTGAATCTGATCTCACTTCAGTAATAGATTGGGGTTCACAGTGGCTTGTGAATTTCAACTCTAAAAAAACCCAATTGCTTACTGCAAACAACTACCGTAATTTGGTCAATATTCCTATATTAATGAATGGCAATCCTCTTACTGAGTCGTCCTCTTTACGTCTTCTTGGATTATCGCTTACTACTGACCTGTCATGGAAACCATATATACAATCGATTGCTAAATTAGCTTCTGCTAAGGTTGCTTCTCTTTATCGTGCTCGCCATTTCTGATTCCATTCTCTACCTCTACAAATCTCTTATTCGTCCCTGTATGGAATACTGTTGCCATATTTGGGCTGGTTCTTCTAACGATTCACTTTCTCTTCTTGACAAGGTCCAAAAACGCATTGTAAATGTTGTTGGACCTGGACTATCTGCTAAGCTTGAACCTCTTTACCATCGTTGTAAAGTTGCATCTCTTTCTCTTTTCTACGGATACTATTATGGTCACTGCTCAAAGGAGTTATCATCTCTAGTTCTATCAACTAAAATTCATTCTCGTTTTACTCGTCATTCAGCTAAGTCTCACTCGTTTACTGTATCTGTCCCTGCATGTTCTAAAAACTTTTATTCATCTAGTTTTTTTCCCCGCACTTCAATCCTTTGGAACTCTCTCCCATCTTCATGTTTTCCTGACTCATACAACCTTCAACTTTTCAAGTCTTCTGTCAACCGTTTCCTTGCTCTTTAACTCTGTTCTTTTTTTTTTCCTAATAACTCCCAACTTAATAGTGGTTGCTTGCAGCCTTGTTGGGAGTGAATGCAAAAAAAAAAAAAAAAAAAAAAAAAAAAAAAAAATTGGTCTACTATTTCAATTATTGCGTGTTCTGTTGAATGTTTTTTCCGAAAACCAAACTGTTTTGTGTAAAATAAATTATTTTCATTATAATGGTTACAGATTCTATTATAAAATACACGTTCAAATATTTTTGAAAATACAGAAAGTACTGATACAGGTCTATAATTAGAGATTTCAGATTGATCATTATTTTAGTAAATTGGACATACTTTTGCGAACTTTAATGCTTCAGAAAAAGTTCCTTCCTTTATTGAAAGTTTTATAATATGGATATTGTTGAGATATTGTATTCTAATAATATATGAGATATTGTATTTAATATATGAGATATTGTATTCTAATTTTGATTTGATTTATAGAGAGAAGATTATGGGAAGATTAGGGTAATATTTACTAGAAGATTAGGGTAATATTTTGTAGTTTATAACTTCTTTGAATTCTGTTTATTTTTAAACTTGTGTTATATAATTACTTGTTATTTATCTTGTATATAAATTGCTAAATAAATAATTTTTTTAAGTCAAACTATTGTAATCTAAAATCTATAAAAAATTGAAAATAAAAATTCGCATCATCAGTTTGATTGATAAAACACAAAACTGCGACTTTTTTTACAAAAATTAAAAAAAAAATTAAACTTAGCTGAGATAATTCAAAAAAAAAAAAAACTCTGTATATAAGTATCTTTAAGCCAAATGTTGAATTTTGTATCACTTTCAATTTTGTATCTTTTTGCTTTTTACAAAAATAAAGAAAGATTATTACGTGAAAATGATAAAATATTCTAGAGCCTAAAATAGTTTTATTTGTTTTAGGAGCATGTTATCTTTTATTCAGTATATAATAAAACTATTAGGTATGATAGATACTTAATTGTTAAAATAATTAAGGGGTATTAAGTTTGTACTGCCAATCAATTCTATTTTTAAGTTTTTTTGTTCCAAAGTTTGAGTTGAAAAAAAAAATTAATCTTCTTTAAAACATAAATAAGTCTGATTAGAAAATTTAAAGGTAAGTCTTGAAGTAAGACGAAGTATTGAGTTTTTGCTTTTGAATTACTTTACTCTTTTCTTATCATAATTGATAATTATTAAATGTTTAAACTAATATTGCTTTAAAATAATGCTAAACAATTTTTTTTCACCATTTTTTTTTTTTTTTGAACATTGTTTATAAAAAAAAAAGTAAAAAAAATATATTAAAATAAAAAAAAGATATATATTTACAAAATATATAAGATAAAAACTTTTATGTGCAAAATGCTCATTATTTCTAAAATTACATACTTTTGTTACGTTATTTTTGCTTGAAAATGACACATCAAACGAAAGTAATTTATTTCAAAAAAATGAGAAATGTTTAAAAACTTCTTTAGTAACTTTTCCTCTATTATTAACTTAAGTTATAAAACTTTTAAACTTTATTCATATTTAAATAAAAACAATCGAAACCATTTTTAATATTATTTTCATAACTCTTTGGTGTGTGCAGAAAACCAACCTAACTATGTTTTTGCTTGGTACTAGCTTAAAATTTTTTTAATATTTTGATATTGTTCTCACTGCTAAAACGGAGAACAAAATCCATGAAGCAATATTATTATTATTTTTATATATTTTATTTTATTATTTATATTATTATTATTTTTATTTTATTCATTATTATTATTATATATTAATTCATTTATCTCCATCAGAATGGTGCGAAATAATATTTTTACATTAGCAACAACTTTATATAAGCTAATAAATTTATAGATAAACATGAAAAACTTCAACTTTCCAAACTGCATACTTTTTATTTCACAGTATATCTAAGTTTTTTTGTTATTTTGATTTGAAATTCCCTCCATTTGAGAGGGTTAAAAATCTTATTTGTTCATAATTTTTGAACGCCGAAAGATAATACTATGAAACTTAAATTTATCGATGAATATAACCCTAGTTAAGATTAGCAAAAAAAATAAAACCTGTAAACAATTTCTGTCTGTATTTACTTGTTCAAGTGCCATTGAAACGAACGATAGAAAAGAAGAAGTATTCAGCAGGCTTGCAATTTTTTATTATATATTTATAAATGATCTGAATAATTTTGTTGTTTGTATTTAGTTGAATGATGACGTTGTTTAGACAAAAGATTGGTAGTTAAACTTTTATGTTAAAGTTATTATTTATTTGTTAACTATTGTCTGTCGTTAACAAAGCAAGTAAATAAATGCACATAATGATAACAGATTTCTCTTTAGATTTTTTGCAAAACTTTTGGTTTTGGTTGACAAAAGACCAAGTGAAAATAATACTGGAAAGGTACACTTTCTTATATCTAAACATCATTGCCTTCTAGACTTCATTTTTGGTTTATGTGTATTTTATCTGTGTTGCTAATAATATCGTCAGTTTTTATAATTCTATGTTGTTAAATAAAGCATCACTATGTTTCAGGCTAAAATGGAGCTTTGAAGAATACTTTTAGCCAGTTTAAATAAATAACAAAACTCATGATGTATTAACTGAATTATCTTTTCATTTTGATAGTCTTTAGTCAATATCGGACTTTTAAATTGTTATGAGTCTAGAACACTTAATTTCAGCGAAATTAAATTAAAATATCACGTCATAGAAGAAAGAACAATGTCAATATCTGTTTTTGATAATTTGGCTTACATAGCAAATCTCAGAGGTGCATAATAAAATATATCGTTGCATACTCATTTTGATGGTCGTAATTTTTTAAGCATACTCACTTTTATATATTAGACTGTTTACCGTTTGACTGCTGTCCCTAATCTAATCTAGTGGGTCCGAAAAAAAAGGACTGCGCTGGAAACATGAAGGGGTTAAAAGGATTAGCCCTTTTTGAATTAATATTCGGTAAGTCTAATGTGTTTCACTCAGTTAATCAAATTTCATTTGGTTTTTTGTATTACATTCAAGCAAGAGACTGTTTTTTATGTTCTCTCATTTTTTAGAAGTCGTAGCCAGCTCGTATGAAAGGATTTCTCTACGTAAAATAGTTAAATTTATTCAACAATGCAAAGAAACAGAGCTCGCTCAAGAAACAGTGAAAAATAGAAAGATGAAAAAATGTTCTATTTAACAATACTGTTGTTTTATTTATAAATTATTTTTCTATGTTTAAACATAAAAGATGTAGAAAATGCTTCCTCCTTTATATTGACATCTAAAAGAGGTTTTTTTATCGGCATCGGAAAGAGCTTATTATCATACTTTGTATGAAGAGCTATTTCATTTTCTTTTGATAAAAACAACTTTTCTTATGTGAAAAGTAGGAATACTACAGTGTATAGGATACTATAGTATACTAATAAATATGACAAAAAAAGTCGTAATGACCCCGAGAAAAAAACTGTTTTAGAAGTGCATAATCGATAAACAAAGACGTCTTAAAGACACATTTTTTATGTCATTTCATCACAAGATTAAGATAAAAAAAACGTCTTTTTGGTGTTGAAATTTTTTGAAACGTCTTTTTGGTGTTGAATTTGCATAATGGATTTAAAAAAAACGTCTTGAAGACATCGTAAATAAGACTTTTACAGACGTCTTTTTGATTTCTTTTTTCCCACTGGGTATTCGTATTTTAGAGAAGCAAAGAAGATTGGATATAGTTCTATAATTAGAAACATTAGAGGAGTCTCATTTAAAAACCTATTTAACTCTTGCAGTTTTAAAATTTCCTCAAAACATTCCTTGTTTTAAAGAAAGATTAAAAGTATGCATTAATGGTATAGTAAATTCTAAAAATTATTTATTTTTTGAAATAATGATTATTTTTAAAAACTTTCAAATCATCAAATTTGAAAATTTAGTTTCTTGATCCAAATTTATCTTGCATAATAATTAGTAAGTTGAAACAGAGAGATTCTGTATATAAAAAGATATGTCATTTTTGCAGATATTAATAAAACTATGTACTTATATATTTTTTAAATTTATATAAATATATTTATGTTCAAAAAAATACAGGTTCTTATCGAGTAATAAACATCACGTTGTTTGCATTTTTTAAACGATTTTTTTCGAAATATTAACAAAAGTAAAGGAATTTCAAAGTCTATTTGGTGTGATGCGTTGAGAAAAATTGCATATATATATATACATATATATATACAATTTATATATATAATATATATATATATATATATATATATATATATATATATATATATATATATATATATATATATATATAAAAACTATTTTTTAGAGAATCAATTATATAATCATATATATATATATATATATATATATATATATATATATATACATATATATATATATATATATATATATATATATATATATATATATATATATATATATATATATATATATATATATATATATATATTATATATATATATATATATATATATATATATATATATATATATATATATATATATATATATATATATATATATATATATATATATAAAAACTATTTTTTAGAGAATCAATTATATAATCATATATATATATATATATATATATATATATATATATATATATATATATATATTTATATATATATATATATATATATATATATATATATATATATATATATATATATATATATATATATATATATATATATATATATATATATATATATATATATATATATATAAAAACTATTTTTTAGAGAATCAGTTTACAATTTATAAATGGAGATATTTTTAATTATTTTTTTATTTTACGCTCCTCCTACAAGTAATAAAATCTTTTAAATTCATTCAAACAATCATTAATAAGATATTTCATCTTTTGCCTGTGATAATATTGATTTTTGCTATAAACCTGTGGTTGTCGGTAACCGTATGGTTGTCGGTAACCGTGTGGTTGTCGGTAACCGTGTGGTTGTCGGTAACCGTGTGGTTGTCGGTACTTGGGTAGTTTGTAGTCAGTACCAAATTTTTTAATTAAAACTTTTATTTTTACTTTAAACTGAAATAACATTTACATAAAATTTTTATCTAAAGCCTTATCTTTACCTATTTACAAAATACTGGTTGGAATACTATTTTTTTCATGTATTCATTATATATTAGTAAAATCTAAAAATTATTATTTATTACTGTTGGGTGAAATAAAAAATGTATTAAATGATCCGCAAAATATATTCTAGAATATATTTTGCGGTTGTTGTGAAACATTTAGGAAATAATAAAGCAAAATTTATAAAAAAGTAGCTCGATTGGTAATATTTATCAAAAGTTGAAAAGCTTTAACTAAGTTTAATCAAAATATTTAAACAACTATTTAAATAACATAAAATTTTAATATTTACCCGAAATAATGTTTTCTACCTTATGAAGGCGGAAACTAGATTTTGTCGTCAAAAATTTATAAAAAGTTCAAGAACTTTTTATCATAGATGCAATAGAGTTACTAACAATCCAAAATGACGACATCAAAGTGTTGATGTCGTCATTCTTAATTGTTAGTAGATTTAAATCGATTAGTGAATTTATATATTTTCTAAAAAATGGCATTTATTGCTTTTTCTTTTTTTTTCAAAGCAACCAATAATGTAAATGCGTAAATCAGGAAAATGTTAATAAATACAATATTAGTAGAAAGAAAATTAAACTATTTTACATTGAATCAGGTTATTATATATTGTTTAGATAACCAGAACATGGAAAAGTAGGTGTGAGTGTTTGCGTATGTCATTTGCTTTGGTTATCTTTACTTCACTGAATTTCAATAGTAGTTTTCTTTGTAAAAAAAAAACAAACAACAATTTTTAGGTCTCAATTCAAACTTTGAAATGCATTTAAAAATATAATCAATCACCAACATCGCACAAATCGCTCTTTATGAAAGTTTAAAATTTATGCTTGAATCAAAAATAATCACTTAACTTGTTGCATAATTAAATGTACTTTACTAAAACAATAAAACTATTTTACAAATTAGCATATTTTTAATTTTTATTTGTAAGTATTTGTTTCCAGATCCTTTTGAATAAAAAATAAATGATACACGTTACAGTTTAGGTTAGAAACAAGTGGTGTTTGTGTCGAGATCAAGCTAAAGAGGTAAAATATTTGTAAATTTTAATTTTTCTTGTAAGTTTAATGTTCTCATATAACACTATTAACTGCGTTAAGTTCGCGATTACATATATTAAAATGCTATAATGAATATGACTATAATTTTAGTAAAAAAAAAAGAGTAAATTTAAATGTAAACTTTAATTTATATAAATAATCATAGCAAAATATAAATTTTAGTAACTATAAAACTTAGAAAGAAAAAATATTAGTAAAAAAAGGTTTTGTAATCATAATTCATTAAATTTCTTTCATTTTAAAAAAACTGTTCAAACAATATAAAATTTACTGTTTGAAATAATTTTTTTTAATGTTGTTTTATCATTTTAACATTAAAAACTTTTTTTAGTGATATACTTAGACCGTTGTAGGGTTCCATCTATTGATAGCACAAACGGTCTAAGTTGGTCGAGAAAAAATAGAGTTTTAAATGTTAAAAAGAGTAATAGCATAGCTATTTCTTAAAAATTTTTCCATTCTTAAGTTGTTTAGTTAATTTTTTAGAGAATACTTCCTCTAATATTTATTTTTTCAATATATTTTTTTAATATTTATTTGACAACGTAAACAATTTTGTAAATAAACCCGACGGGCATTTGTTTTTAAAAGTTACGATCTAAATGTATTTTAAATGTCTTTTAAACGTCTTTTAAACTTTAATGTTTAAAAGACGTTTAAAAGACATTTAAAACACATTTAGAACGTAACTTTTAAAAACAAATGCCCGTCGGGAATTAAAAAAATTGTTCTTTAAAAGTGTTATAAAGTGTTAAGCTTGAATTTAGGCAATGGCAAGAGAATATTTATTATTAACATGGTTATTGGTATGCATTGTTGAAACTAAATGCATCATACCTTCTAAAACAACATTTAAAAATGCACTTACTGATCTTTTTCAGTTAATTGAAAGTAGTAGAAAAGGAAATGATTTGCCTTTAATAGCAGGATGTGTTCGACTTGCATTTCACGATTGTGTAGGAGATGGTGGGTGCGATGGTTGTATTGATCACACTAATCCCGATAATGCTGGTTTAAAAAGATATACTGAACCTCTTGATAGCTTATATGACCAAAAATACATTGGAAAAATATCAAGAGCTGACTTTTATGCTTTGTGTGCTGTTGTTGCATTAAATCGGTCCACATTTGATACGCCAGATAAATATACCGGCTTGAGTATATTTAAAGTTGGTCGAAAAGACTGTTCTCAATCGCCAGCGGAAGACGGTGATGAAAACTTTCCAAAAGGTACTGATGGTATGGCTAAAACATTTCAATATTTCAAAGATTTTGGTTTTAACGAAGCTGAAGCAATCATACTGCTCGGGGCTCACACACTTGGAAGATGTAGTCTTAGTAACTCCGGTTATGACGGCGCTTGGGTAGACAATCGTTTTTCAAAAGTTTCAAAAAAGGCAATAAATCCTTTAGCACCTACAAGTGTGCTTGATAACTCGTACTACAACATGATGGTAAAAATTCCTCCTTGGAAACAATTTGAAACAAGCGCTCATAAAATGCAATGGCGGGAGCCGAATCCTTTTTCTTCTACTATTCTTTTAAACTGTGATATGGCAATTTTTTACGATTTGAATGCAACAGATGAATTTGGAAATTCAGACTGTAGACTAAGTAGTCCTTTATCTTTTAAAATTTCTAAAACTAGAGTATGTAATCCGTCTGTTGGTAGAGGAATAACACAATTTTATGCAAACAATAACGCTCAATTTATCGCAGACTTTGCAATAGTTTTCAACCGAATGATTGAAAAAAACTCTGCAACTTTACAAACTGCTGCAAATTTGGTAAAGGATGACCCTTTGCATAAAATTAATGAAGCATTTGACGAGGTTACGAAGCTTTTAAATGAAGTTTCCGGTATAGCCGATGATACGCCAGACAAATAATGGTGACACGACTTCGTTATATATACATACTTTAAGTTTAATTTATAGCATATCATTATTTTCAACACTTTTTTTTGTGTAACTTATATAATTGTAGCATATAATTATTTTTGCTATCTTTTTTTCTTAACTATTGAAGTAAAAATTAAATGTAAGCTATGACCAAAAACTAAAACTTTTAAAAACCATGATTTCACGAACGCAACTATTTTTCATATAGATGATTTGTGTTTAATAGTTTTTTAGCTAAGAGTATTTGGGGTAAACTTGTAATAAATCCTATAAACAAGAAAACTGTACCGAATTGGATTTATTCGGAACTTCTGTTGATAATAAACAGGTTCTAATTTACTTTTATTTAAATTTATGTTAGTTTTAATATCACGTAAATTCTAACGTAAAAATAAAAATAATAAAATTTTTGAAAATGGTGCGGTTCCACTAATTAACAAATTCACCAGAGTTACTCAATCCACATTCTCCCTGATTGATAATATAATGAAAACAGATTTGTTTAAAAAATCTCTTAAAAAGGAAATAATTAAAAGTGACATTTCTGATCACTTCATTATTTTCTGCGGTATTATTATTAACTTGAAAACGCCAACTAAAATAAATCAAGTTTTTCTTTAACATATTTTTACTGAAAAGAATTTGGAAACATTTAAGAAGCAATTTTCTATTATTTTTAGTCTCAACAGGCCTCTGAATCTGTGCATTGTGATTTTAAATAATTTTAGGAGAGTGGAAACAATGTTTTTGGTTAAATTAAAGACTATGCGCAAAATCTGCATAAAACCACTTTTAGTCATAATTCCTGACATTAGAACAGTTTTATTTTAAAACTAAGTATGTTATAATATATATGTGTATCTTTTAGAAACTGTTACTAGTTGTTAAAGGAAATAAATATAAATATAAATATTTTTTGTATTGTTTAAATCAATCTCTAACTAAAAAACAATGGATTATATACCAAAAGACCAATATCAAGACTTTTTGTTGTTCAAGATAAGTTACCTCCAGATAAGTATTTACACACCAATATAAGAAATATATTTAAAATACAATAACGGTGATCAGTGTTTTGGAAAAATATTATCTTGAAATTAAGACCCCAAGGCCAAAATATTTGTTACGGAAGGGGGCAATAATAGCATTTTAAAAAAACTTTATTATTATAAACGCGACTAATCATGACCTCTTAAAATTGACAACCCCTTTAAATAGAAGCGGTTTAAAAGTTTCCCTGGTCATTTTTAAGCAATTAAGAAATTGTTTTGAGATAAATTGATTTTTACAATGAATTTAAGATACTTGATAGATATTTGGACCTGCTATTGCAAACAACCTCCAACCATTATCACATCATCGTAATGTTGCTTCTCTTTTACTTTTTCATAAACACTCTAATAGGCACTACTCTAAAGAGCTAGCGTCTCTTGTGTCATCTACTAAAATTAATTCTCGTGTTGCAAGACATTCAATATTAATAATAAACTTCAAATTAGTGTTTACGTAAAATACCTTAACCTCAACTGTTATTCAAATTAATAATAATACAACTCAGACATAATAAGTCATAAATAAATAAAAATACAACTATCTCTATTTATTTATGTTTTATTATTCCGGTTATAATGTAGACTTATTATTACTGCCATGACGTAAGTAAATTAAATACTGTCGTTTTAAAGAAAATTTTAATGAATTTTCGCAACCTGACAAGATATTTTAAAGTATTACATTTTTATTGACTGCTTGGCACAATGTAGGAATGTAATGCTGGAAGATTCTTTTTGTTGAGAATTGAATCCAAACAAAAAATTTTGTCTTGAATATATCTTTTACTTTTATCTTTACATCATTTGATGCTGCATATTTGTTCGAAGAATAAAATCCAGCGTTTCCAAAAATAAGTCTGAAAAGTAAGATTCGTTGTCAATAACAACTACTTTTTTCCAAAAAATAGAAACTAATCAATGGCATCTTGAACGAACAGGTGCAGTTTGCTTTGGTATTATTTCAAATGTTTTAATTTTTTACGGTAGCAAATCCTATTTTTTTATTGATGGTTTTGCAAATATGCAGTTTTGATACATTGAATTGTTTTGCAAGACCTCGCTGTGAAATAACATTCTTTAAATTGATCTGAATTTTAGACATCTATTTTGTTTTGTATTTTTATTTACCACTTCTTACGATTTTTTTGGTCCTATAAAAAACCGGCGATGCAAGCTACCCAAAAAGTACATATGACTTAAACCTTTATTTTATTTTGGTTTTCAACAAAACCATAACAATCATAACTGCTCAGGGCTCACATAATCCATCTCACGTAATGCACTGCTATTCATCCTTCATCCAAGCCTAAGCTGTGGGAGAAGCACGCTCCCATGTAACGTTTTGTGTACATTGGCAATGTATAAGTGCTCAGTTGCCATTAACGCTCAAAACGTTATAACTTTTAAACGGTCGATGGTACAGAAGAATATTTTTTTTTTTTTAAAATGAACAAAAAAAACTGTTTATAAAATTATTTTTATAGAAGGCAAAAATTTTGTAAAAATTTGTCACATTGTGTTATCACATGTAAACATCATATGTTACATTGTTTACATGTAATATCTAAGCAATTTTATTGTCAATATTATCATAAAGGATGCACACAGCAAACACATTTATTTTCTAGGCAATTTAAATTTACATTTATTAGATTGTAAAAAAAAAAACCAAAGCAACTAATATTTCAAATGGTTCCAACTATAAATGAAGCTAGATTACAAAAAAGTAAAATATTTTTTTGTTAAAATGATTGTTTAACGATTTCAAGTTTAATTTTTTTACTGATAACCTGAGGCAGCATTTCTTTCATTTTAAATAGCTGACATTTCCTTTCATCATTTTATCATAATTATATTTGTTTATGCGACACAATGATCGCAAAAACTGACCAACGGAGCAATCCAGTTTCGTAGACCTGGGAAATATAATAATAAAACATTTTGTAGATGGTCTCATTGTAATAATCAGTTTGTAGATGGTGTTGTTGAATAAAAAATAAAAATCATAAGAAAATATATAATGAGTGGGAGGACTTATGTGAAAGTGAAGAACAAAGTTAAATGCTCGAGGGTAGTGGAGAAACAACCAACACTCTAGTCACTCTGTGTGTAAATCATATGTAACAAACAACAAATATTTGACACACTAATTTTAGAGGCTGTTGATGTCTACAGGTGTGACGATGTAGTGCATTAGTACGCACATTTTAATCGTCTAGTATGGTCTCGTTATGTTTTCGTTCACATAAAAATCGAGTGAATAGAAAGCTAAACACACTCACTTTTTGCGTTTATGGGCTAGCACATCAGAGCTAGACGAAAGACCTACAAAATGGATTTCAATTGATCGAATGCACACATTAGTCACCGTAGGCCACAAGTCATCACTCTTAGCCAAAAGAGCTACTGCCCCGTGCTGGTGCGGAATGATGTGCTATGAAGTGAGATTTTAGATCCGAGCACAGTTTTTAATATTTTTTAGGTAAAAATTATCTGAAAAAGTATACATTAAAAAGCAAATAATTAACGTCAAATTAAAGATTTTAAACTTTGATAAAACATAGTTATATTTCAAAGCTGCTACAACAAAAAATTTCAATTGTAAGGTATTATGAAAGCACACAAGCATCATAAGCAGCCATTTTAAGTTTTAAATTTATGAACAACCATGAGTTAAGTCTCCTCCCTTCTTAGGCATCCTAGTGAAGTTCTAAAAGTTATAATCTATCGGGTGGACATGTGCAATAATTGATGGTATTTTATATAAAAATAGGTTGATAATCACTGTTTTTCAGAATAACTGGTTTATTTTTGAGCAAATTAATAAAATAGTATCAACATCTAAAAAGAGACACTATGAAACAATTATGTCAGGCACTGTGCGGTCTAATGTTTATTCCACTTTCAGATTGTCTGCATTTTCTTCAACTAATATTATACTTCCAGAGACTTTACTGTTTCCACAGTGCATAATTGCATTATCAGCTAGTAACATTATTCTAGTAGTAATATTATTTCCACATTTCTAAATTTGTCTTTTGCTGGTATTATCAATCAGCAAGTACAATAAATTAGTTGAGATTTTGAAAAGGGACAGAAGCTTAAGCTTAGTAGCTCGAGTAAAGGGGTATTTCACATCCCCTCTGGGTCCCTGCTGTATCTAAAGTTCCTGGACCTCTTTATAAATCAAGATACACAAATAAAATACACAAATATACTAGTTAATAATAAATAATGATTGTAAATATGCATTAATTTTTATATTCCTATACCCTTTTAAGAAAAAAACTATGCGATTAAGGGTTTGAACATGGCCTACTATATTCACTGTCGTATATCTTATATTTTTGAGGAGAAAATAAGAGGCCGGTTTTGATAGTTTTAGATGCAAAATACGCTAAAAAATTATTTTAAAAAATTTTCTCCTTTCTGAATTTACTAATTTTTAAAGAATTTATAGTGAAAATGGTCAACAAATGTGCTGCACCAAAATGTACATTGGGATACTTAAGCAACAAACACAAACAAATTGCATCTTCTCATTTAAAGAAGATTCAGTTTGTTTGTTCATTTAAAATTTAAATCAACTTTAAAATTCATTTAAAACTTAAATCAACCTTGGATACGATTGTACTTTTGCAAAAAAATCATCTTTGCAAGTTTTAAAAACTTCTCGAAGTCCTTTTAAATTGAGAATATTCCAAAAAGATCAGTTAGAAATATTTAAGAAAAATGGTACGACTGCAAATGTACATAATTTGAATGAAGCAGTAGCACCACCAGGGTTTCAATTTAAACGATTTGAAAAAAGTGTTGTATTTTAAAATATAGTATTTAATGAACAGACATATTTTTCAACTATATTAGAATCAATAAAAGTTGATGTTGACCTAAATGTACGTTTGCAATACAAAGGAACACCGCTTCCATTCCAAGTTGGTTTGCTAAAGGACATAATGCAAACCTTAATAAAATTAGTATGCTAGAAAATTTTCCTTCTTATATGAAAAACTACACATTAGAAAATCATGATACTATTTTAGATGAAAT